GATAGAGGGAAACCAAAATTCTTCATTTCATCCCAAGACTGTCTTACACTGACAGAGAAAGGGGTTCTGACCCAGCTGAGGGAAAACAGAACAGAACTCACATTGGTGTCTTCATCCATAAGCCAGTGGCATACATAAAGGAGGAGCACCAGAAGGATTCCCATTGTGGTGACTCTCCCTGAATTCGTTTATCAATTTAATGATTCCAGTAAAAGATACTGACAATTTATTTTCTGTTGTTGTTGGAAGGTAGTGGAATTAGCTAAATGGAAAATTCCAGGGGGTGGAGGGGAGGCCTAATGAACAAGAGTGGGAGTACAGGGGGGTTGCTACTATAAAAACCAATAGGTATGAAGACTTTGGAAACAGATGTCCACCCTAAGGGGCTATTTTAAGTAAATTATGGTTTACCCACACAACAGAAATCTATGCAACTGTTTAAAACAATGTAAGGAAACTCTTATATATATAGGATGAAGTCCAAGATACAGTAAGAAAGAACAAGGTGAAAAAGTGGGTATATGGTATGTTAGCCTTCATATAAAAATGGAGGTTTTTTTGATGTAGTGATTATCTATTACTGTGGAACAAATGGCCCCAAACTTAGTGATTTAAAACATTTATTATCCCAGTTTACACGGATCAGGAATCCGGGCACCGCTTAGCAGGCTGCCTTTGGCTCGGGTCTTCAAGAGGCTGTAGTCAAGCTGTCAGCAGGGGCTGTGGACCCATTAGAAGGTTCAACTGTGGGAGGGAGGATCTGTTTCCAAGTTCAGTCACATGGTTGTTGGCAGGCATTGGTCTCTCACATGAGCCTCTCCACAGGGCTGCCTCAGCATCGCAGCTGCCTTTCCCCAGGGTGGGTGATCCCAGAGACAGAGAGCACCCAAGATGGAAGCTGAAGTCTTTTTTACCTATTTCAGAAGTAACATCCTACCACTTTTGTAGTATTTTATTCATCAGATGTATATCTGTGGCCAGGTGTGGTGGCTCATGCTTGTAATCCCAGCACTTTGGGAGGCAGAGGCAGGCAGATCATGAGATCAAGAGATCGAGACCATCTTGGCCAACATGGTGAAACCCTGTCTCTACTAAAAATGCAAAAATTAGCTGGGCCTGGTGGCACACATCTGTAGTCCCAGCTACTCGGGAGGCTGAGTCGGGAGAATCACTTGAACCCGGGAGGTGGAGGTTGCAGTGAGGCAAGATCACGCCATTGCACTCCAGCCTGGTAACAGAGCGAGACTGTCTCAAAAAAAAAAAAAAAAAAAAAAAAAAGTCCATCTGGAAGGGGAGGGGAGTACACAAGGGCATGAATACCAGAGGTGGGAGCACTGGGGGCTGTCTTTGAGGATACCTACCCACCACACTCACAAGGCATAGTGTTTCTGGAAAGATACACTAGAAACATTCAATATTGGTTGCCTTCAGGGAAGGAAATTGGTAAAAAATAAACCAGGCTGGGTGTGGTGGCTCACGCCTATAATCCCAGCACTTTGGGAGGCCGAGACAGGCAGATCACTTCAGGTCAGGAGTTCGACACCAGCTTGGCCAACATGGTGAGACCTCGTCTCTATTAAAAATACAAAAATTAGCCAGGCATGGTGGTAAGCACCTGTAATCTCAGCTACTCAGGAGGCTGAGGCAGGAGAACCACTTGAACCCAGGAGGCAGAGGTTGCAGTGAGCTGAGATTGTGCCTCTGCACTCCAGCCTGGGTGAGAGTGAGACTCTATTTCAAAAATATAAAATTTATTTTAAATTTAAAAAGAACAATGAAAAATATGGCATTTTAACAGACAAAATACTAACAGGGAACAAAATTAAAACAGTAACAATTATACTTCAATACTATATAGTTATTACTAGCACCATAAACATGCTTGTTTCTACTTAGCCATTACTTGCTTCCATGAGGGAGGTTTAAAAACCTCTTTATTACACATGCATACACATAAGCAAGCAACTCCCTTTTGTAGAGCAAAATACAAACGCTTGAGCTGGGATTCACAATCCTCCTCACAGTTTGGTTCCAGTCCACCCTTACTGACCCATTTCCTGCCATCCTTCCATCCATCTGTGAACTCGTTATTTGTGATACTGAACTATTATTTGCCAGTTATGGAGGGTAAAGGCAACAAGCACAATGCCTGGCACACAGCAAACTTTCATCAAGTGCTGGCTTCCATTCTGCCTCAAACACGGCCTTTGTTTAGACTGTCTCCTGTGCGTGGAATGCCCCGCACCCCTCTCCTAGACCCAAGTAAAATTCCCTCCAAGGCACACGGCGAATGTCACTGTCATCAAGGAGTCCCACAGGCAATTAGTTATCACCTCTATTCTCCCATAGCACCTGTTTTTACCTTAACTCTGACACTTTTATTATTGTATTACAACTTAAATCTCCGCCATCCAAAGTCTGGTCCTTGGACCGTTAGCTGGGACCTCGTTTGAAATGCAGAATCTGGGCCCCATCCCAGACCTACAGAATCAAAACCAAAATTTCCACAAAATATCAGTGATTTATTTGCACATTCATCTTTCCCTGGTGGAATTGTGAGCCTTTCTAGGGCTCTCTTTTATTTCTGTCCCCAGAGCCCAACATGAGACTTGACGCTCAAACGCTTTTTAAGTTTTATTTGTAATACTTATAAGATAGATTTTAATTCCTAGAAAAATAAATACACATTATTAATAATAATTATCTGGCAGATAGATAATAGTACATTTCTATGTAGCGTTTTAAATTTTCCTAATCAGAATGTATTACCTTTACAGATAGGAAAACAAAAAGATTTGGGAAAATGCACGTAAAATGTAAGAAAAAAGGTAAATTGTAGATATAATACATTCACAAAAGGAATATAACTGTGTTGAGCTATATTTATAAAAAGATGAACAAATTATATTAGGTTTTTAAAAAAAGACAACCTAACAGTATGTATCGATGATACCATGTTTGTCCTTTAAAAAAATTTGTGAATTAGCCGGGAGCAGTGGCTCACGCCTGTGTTCCCAACATTTTGGGAGGCTCAGGTGGGAAGATCCCTTGAGCTCAGGAGTTTGAGCTGGGCAATATAGTGAGACCCTATCTACGTTAAAAGAAAAAATTTGTAAATAGACACTGAAAAGATACATATCAAAATATCTCTAATGAAGTTTGTTTTACAATTTTCTACATTTTACATTTTTTTCTAGTTTTCCTATGATCTTTATAAAAGCTTATCACTTACAAGAAAAAAAGTTATTTTCATTTTTGAAAAACATCTATACCCTTTACTAAGTCCCTTTACATTCAATGACCAAGATTTCTACAACACCCTGGGAAGCTGAAAGGTCTGAAAGTAACACGGCCATTACATAGACGAAGGCAGCAGGCCTTGGAAATGTAACCCTGATGGACTGACTCTGGGTTGGCGTTCTCCCACCCCTGCAGGTACTACAGACTCAGAGGAATGTGGCAAGTCAGATGCCAGCTTTGGCCAAAAAACCTCCTGTCATGTCAGGAGTCTCACCATGCCCAGTTACTTCCTCTGAGACAGTAACAGCAATAGGGGAACACTTCAAAGACAAAGCATTCAGAATGATTCATGCTGCACCACCTCCCCCTGGTGGCAGGCTCTGGAAATTGGCTTGAGGATAACTATTGCAATTGGTCACTATTTTTAAAATATATTTTCTGTCAAAATCACCCTTATTTCTTTAAATCATCAAAATCACTTTTTCTTTTGTCAAGGATTCAGATATTGACAAAAGACACAAAACCAGGACCTGGTGTCAACCAGACAATGCTCTGGATGATGCCAAGGGCAGTGTGGCTCTTTGCCTCCTGTCCTTGCTTCCCCACCTCTTCAAGTCTACAGTGGAGGCAAGGCACTATGTTCTTCAGCACCATCTTTCCTGCTGTGTCTCTATCTCCATCCACTTCCCTGAGCCTCAGAAAAGGGCAAGGTGTGGCTCACATACTCTCAGCCATGGCCTGGCATGCTGCAGCTCCAACATCAGACATCTAGGCACTAATCCTCCCCAAGACCCAGTCCTCAGGTTCAAGGCACTGATATTTCAAATACATGAGACTGAAATACTGACGTTTCTTTAAAAACATCAGGGTTTAGAATGTCAGTCTTCCCCTGTGGGGCCCATGGTCTCCGGATACGCACAGCTTCCTTACTCTTCCAGGAAGAAGGAAACATTCAATAGGATATCTGAAATAGGAAGAAAGAAAAAATGGCATCATCACCTCTCCCGAGAACATAAAACACAGAGGCACAGCAAGGGCACCTTCCTAAAGCTTCCAAAGAGGTAAGCCACAGGGAGAGAAAGGAGGAGAGGAGACACGAAGGAAGAACACAAACCAGTACCTTGTACAAGATCTTGGTGTTCGTCTTTTGAAATTCGGTCCCAGGCCTTGGGCAAAGCTTGGATGTTTGCCAAGTCTCCCCACCGGATAGAGGAAAGAAGATACTTTCTATTCAGGTACCTTTCTGGAAGTTAAGGACTGCTCAAAAGAAAATGAAATATGCTGAAGTTAAAAAAACACCCTGGTGAGAACCAGAGGGAGCTATAAAAATGAAAGTGCAGAGATCCTTACATTGTACCAGGTGGGCCTGATTCACCTATGCTACAAATATTTCCTGAGCAACTGTTTACTAATATGGCTTTGTGCTACAGGGAAAGAGAAATGAAACCATCTCTGAAATCTGGGATCTCAGCATGGTGAGGACAAAACCAGATCCTGAAAAGAAAGAACAAAAGTGACATGAGAGATAAAGCTAGTGGAGGTTCAGAGGATAAATACACCCAATTCAGAGGAAGCAGGGACACCCCAGCTGGTAGGAAACATAAATGAAGGCACAGACGCATAGAATGAATTCAGGGAAAGCAAATCTTCCAGTCTGCTCAGCATGGACACCACATGGAAAGCAGTCAGAAAGGCTGAAAGGTG